GAGACAGTCGTAACCAATTTCCTGTATAACTTCGGGCGCCATCCAGAACGGCGTTCCGATTACTGTATTTCGTTTGGCCATTGTGTCCGTCAGTTGACCCGCAACTCCAAAATCGGCTACATTTTCATAAACAATTAGAAACCTTTGCGTTAGTTCTCAACATATACCGGTTATTTCACAAGTTTTGTTTCAAAACATTTATCAATACAAGTGTTTATGAAATAAGTTTGAATTAATGCCAAAAATAAAAACATATTCTAAACGTAAATCTATTTAAATCACAACTGAAATAATATTCAATGCAATCATCAAATGTTAAGCTATTTCAACGAAATAATCTTAATATAGTTTTGTGAGTGAGTGAGAGAGAGTGAGAGAGAGAGAGAGAGAGCAATACGGAGTGACAATTACCAAGCTTAGCGTGTCCTTCGCTATTAAGTAATATATTGCCGGCTTTGATATCGCGGTGTATTTTCCTTCTCTGGTGAAGATATTCGAGTCCGAGGAGTGTATCCCTAAGTATGGTTGAGATCTCGTCTTCGGTGAGTGTCTTCTTCCTCATGCGCATGATGTCAGACACTGAACCCCCGCCGCAGTACTCCATCACAATCCACAGATCGGAACCTTTAATGAATTCAAATGTTGATGACTTTCGCTCTGTATTGACGGGGAATGAGAGGGTAAACGGGGGTTACGGGGGAACGGTATATGGATGTATTTCAATGTCATAAATTTTGTTAACAAATATGTTTTTGATAGAATTTTATGTAATAATAAATGCTATTATTCAGTAAGTTTGCACTACAATTTTTCAATGTACCGTTCATTAGCACTCGATATCAATTAAATGAGCTTATATCAATTGGCTATTGATTTAGAAAATTTTTTATAAATTACTTATGTACAAATTATTTTTCAGATTTAATCACTGATACATTCAAAAATAGATTTAATGTCTAATCGTCTGTAATATTATCGTTAAATTAAATTGGAATTTGTATTAAATAGGTTAGCAGTCTAGCACATATCATAAAATGTAATTAATTTATAAAATTATATTTAATTTAAACAAACATACAATTTGTACATAAACTTCTACACTACAGTACAGTAGTATTGACTGATTTTTATTAGAAACGTGTGTTAGTGTATAATATTACTGTATAACTTACTGTATTCAATTTCTTACCAGTGGTCACCCTTGAAATGAATGCGATGATCAAGGTCTTTGAATAATCCCCGGTATAACTTAGGTTTAGTTATTAACAATTTCAAAAAACAATTATAATGTATTAATTTTGATGTTCATGTTTTGCAATTGACTACTTTAAAGCTGTAAATGATTGTGTATAGCATTACGTGGCTCATTGGTGCCGTAATTTGAGAATCGTATTTATAGATTAAAAAATGATTTTTAAACAAAATTTTTTAATGACGTTTTTAATTAATTAATAAAATTTGCTTTCAATTTATAATTATATTACAATTTTTTGTTTGTTTGATTAGAAAGTGAATCATTAGAAAAATAGTCAAAACTACAAAAAACAATCATTTTTGACACATAAATGTAAATATAATTATTATTATTGTAAAGGAAATTTAGATTTAGGATAAAATAAGAAAATCTAGATTTTCAGAAATAAAACGAGAAAATGTTTACAAACACTAAATAAATGTCATATAAATTAATAAATGATTTGGTAATCATATACTGCTTTTTAATTTGATTTCAATGTATAACTAATAAAAAACTAAATCTTATATTTATTTAATAAAATATTCTTCTTTTATGAATAGTATATATAATAAAACTGTACTTTCTTTTGGTTCACATGAAATATACCATAAAAAATGGTCTCATTTTACAAAACAAAACACAATTAATTTCATAACTTTATGTTTGACTTAATTATTGGTTAATACGAGATAAAAAACTTAATTTTAGTTATTTATTTGTTAAGGCATTCGTGTGATTAAGTGTTGTATTTTAGGAATTTGTAGTCATATTTATAATTAACTGGAAAACTGAGAAAACAAACAAAAAACATAAACAAATTTGAAAATAAAATAAGTAATGACAGAGAAAATAGTTAAATAAATTAGATTTTTAGAGTTATTTAAATTACGTGAATACAACCAAATGATTGTAAATATCTTTTTCTAATCAAAAAGTTGTCTCAAAAATAGCCAAATATATCTTTATTAACAAAATTATTACTAAATCTCTTCAATAGTGGAAAAGATATTTCATTCACTCATTGGTTGTGTTCAGGAATTCAATAGAAATTTTAAAAACAAAATTCTTGTCTAAAAACTCCGCAAAAAATTGTTTATAAAATGATATTTTGAAACAAATTAAATAACTTTAAACTCAGGTTAAAGTCGATCAAATCAATCATTTTATGGCAGATATTACTGTTAACAATATTTGAGAATATATTTCTAAAACTCTAATAAATAAAACAATTTTCTCTCAATTCATAAAAACTAAAATGATTTCTGGAGACAATAGCACGAAAAAAAGTTATTTTCAAAAATAGTAAAGCAATGAATACAACAAAAAATATAGAAAATAAAGTTCAATTCAAATAATAATTTAATGTATTTCTAATAAATATATCTTAAATATAATGACACGAAACACACATGAGTTCTCATACAAAATAAAACCTCAAAAAATATATTTGGATTCAGATCTCGTCTTATCGTATACTTTGTGTATAAAATGAGACCAAAGAGTGTTTCGCGCATTAAATATAATTCTATCATTAGTTACGAAACAAATTACTCCTAAAAATTATAATAATAATTATAAATTCAATAAATGACTCAATGTTTCAAAAGTTTTGTTGCTTTTTCTTCTTATTGTCCATCGCGTCGAGTATAGGCTGCCGTTTGGCGGCATACCGGCGCCGCAACTCCTCGATCTCGGCCTCCATCTCGACGTCTAAGTTAGCCATTCGACTCCTGAGCTCATCGGTGGACAGGTATCTCAAGAACTCGAAGTCGCCCTCAAGCAGAATGGCTCTCGACATGGGATTATACGGGGAAGACATGGGGTTTGGTTGTGGCGATTGTCCTACGAATGGATGATGTGGTGATTGTTGGTGTTGTGGTGACACCGGCTGTCCACTTGTCGTCACATTTGAGTAATTGTTTTCTTGTGGGAAATGATTATTATTATTGGTGTTCACATCACCTGAATTCAACTCTCGGATGGTTTGCGCGACATTTGATTGATTAGTTTGCGGCGAAGACTCTATGTTTACGCCATCAGTATTTGAATTATTGACCTAAAGGTTACACACAATTCAAAATGTTTATCAAAGTTTCACAAAACACACCAAAAATATAAAACAAGTGTCTGTTTACCAGTTTATACTCATTGCGCTCAAAGTGTTGAAGATATGCCGGCTTTAATGTCTTATCCATATCGTCACTATCGGACCCATCATTGATGATCAAAGTTCCCAAATCTGACTCCACATCAGATGTGGTCGTATTAGTCTTAGTCGTCGATGAAGTGATCGTTTGATCCATTAATGGCTTTAGTGTCGTATCTTTTGATGAGGGAATCATTGTCGACGAGTCTATACTATCATCTAAGTCCTGCAAACACACCAATCAGTTCATTATGATCTCAACTGACAATTAATGAAAATAAGAGTAATAGAAAAGTGAACAAATGCTTACATCGCGTGTACTGGACTCCTGCAATATCATGCGCGCCTCCTGTATCATCTGCTGCAGTATGGAGACGGGCGGTGCTCTCAGTATGAACTCGTGTTGCAGTAATAGACTTGCAGTGGATCTCTGTTCCGGATTCTTAACCAAACATTTCTGTACAAAATCGATGAACTCTGAGGACCACCGGTCGGGGTCTCGGAAAGACGGCGGAGGTTTCGTTGGGATCATGAATATGGCACGCATTGGATGGATGTCACCGTAAGGGGGCTTTCCTTCGGCCATCTCTAACGCAGTTATTCCTATCATATGACGACAAACCAAATCGTTTGTAAGCTTTTATCGTTCACTACAGCACTAGTCTATAGCCAAACCTAAGCTCCAAATGTCTGCGAGACAGTCGTAACCAATTTCCTGTATAACTTCGGGCGCCATCCAGAACGGCGTTCCGATTACTGTATTTCGTTTGGCCATTGTGTCCGTCAGTTGACCCGCAACTCCAAAATCGGCTACATTTTCACAAACAGTTAGAAACCTTTGCATTAGTTCTCAACACATACCGGTTATTTCACAAGTTTTGTTTCAAAACATTTATCAATACAAGTGTTTATGAAATAAGTTTGAATTAATGCCAAAAATAAAAACATATTCTAAACGTAAGTCTATTTAAATCACAACTGAAATCATATTCAATGCAATCATCAAATGTTAAGCTATTTCAACGAAATAATCTTAATATAGTTTTGCGAGTGAGTGTGTGAGAGTGAGAGAGAGAGAGTGAGAGAGAGAGAGAGAGAGAGAGCAATACGGAGTGACAATTACCAAGCTTAGCGTGTCCTTCACTATTAAGTAATATATTGCCGGCTTTGATATCGCGGTGTATTTTCCTTCTCTGGTGAAGGTATTCGAGTCCGAGGAGTGTATCCCTAAGTATGGTTGAGATCTCGTCTTCGGTGAGTGTCTTCTTCCTCATGCGCATGATGTCAGACACGGAACCCCCGCCGCAGTACTCCATCACAATCCACAGATCGGAACCTTTAATGAATTCAAATGTTGATGACTTTCGCTCTGTATTGACGGGGAATGAGAGGGTAAACGGGGGTTACGGGGGAACGGTATATGGTTTGTGGAGTGGCGACGCAATCAAACCGATGGCCATTGCGTTCATCGATTTGATCGCACAGACAATGGATAGGAGAGTGAGTGAGAGAAAGAGATATTTTGTTGGTTTTCATTGGAAACATCAATCAAATGAAATAAAAGTGTTTTTTATAGAAATAATTTAAGCAAATATATGAAGTGATAAAAACCTTTGAAATAACTTCCATAGTATCGGACAACGTATGGACTGTCGCACTGTTGCATAATTGATATCTCTTTTATGATTTCACCTGAAAATGCATTACAAAAATAGTTTTATTAATTCATTGTTACGGTTGTGTGTGTTTTAATTGGAAAATAGGTTTATTTGCAAACTACGGTATATGTATGAATATGAATGCCATTCAATAATGTCACTTAAAATCAAAGCTATATTTGATAGACCGGTAATTAAATAAATATTTGATTAAGTACAGTTTTCAGTATTTATTTTCGAAATCAGTTTGTTTACCTAATTGGTGAGCAACCACTACATTCAGCGCTAACTAAAGTAGACAACAATTCTATTATTTATAAATATTTTGCGATATGTTCAGGATGACAACTGAAAACTAGTAAACATAACGATAATAAAAGTTAATCTAAATATTTGTCACTAAACAGTTAACGTGTAAATAATTGCTCGTAAAACTACAATCTGTTGCATAACTGGATTAAGACAATGGGTGTGGAGTGGAGGGTGGGGTACGGGATGTGGTGGAAGTGATGCAGACCTAAGTCACTCTCGACGGGCACCTGTTTGATGGCCAGCACCTGACCCGACTCCTTGTGCAGCGCCTTATATACCGATCCATACGAACCCTCGCCTATAGATTGAGACAATTAACAGACAATTAGTGGTCAATTGAAGGGATCCGATGGTGCGATGAGTACCTAATTTGCAGAGTATGTCGAAGACCTCTTCGGGCTGTCGAGTCAACTGCTGTTCACTTAACTTCTCTAATATAGACATCACTTCACTATTGGTTTGATTTGTATTTAGATTTGATTAACACTTGTGGTGTAAATAAACTCAAATACTATGAAAACTTATTAATTAATCACACATTCATTAATACAATGATAACTGAAATGACAAACAAAGCAAAACTAATGTATCACTCAATGAATGAACGGATTATCTCATTGCGAAGACACTGATCATGCGGTGATGATCGTTGAATACATGTTAACGTAAATAATGGTTAATATATTGATAGGAATTAACTGAACATTGATTTCGGAAAAGACATTCATTTGTGAATCAATTGTTTTGTTGTTTTCATTTTGACATCATTTGCACTGAAATTACATGTAAAACACAACTCATTTGAAAAGACAACTAAAACACAATGAAAGCGATAATAATTGCAGTTTAATATGATTTGTGTTGAGAAATATCAGCGCAAACGGAGGGTTTGATTGAAAATATGGCATAAATTGAGTGATAAATAGATGTGTTTTGTTATAACGAATGATCGCATTGTGTGTTGTGTTTCGGCACTCATTTGTTTTGTCGTGTTTTTCGATGCATTCATTGCATTCATGTAATCACAATAACGCTGCGTACAGTCGGCGCGAATATTTTGTTGACATTTGCATTACACGCCGCGCATTGCATTCAATGCTATTCCTGTGGACACAGTGTTCTATAATTCAATTATAGTTCACTCTCCCTCTCTCTCCTATCGTAAGTCAATATCACATAAACCTTAAACTTTTTCGGTTACAAGTTGTTAGTAATAAAAAGGTATGATTTGTGGCGTAATGGATGCTAGTGTTTGTGGCCTTTTTAATGCTATGTAGAGCAATTAGCAGTAAACCTGAAGTTTTGTTCAAAAATTTGTTTTTCTTGTATAGACTTTCACTCTGGAAGTTGTGTCACGACTTGTGGGTATCCTCTCGTCAGACAAGTCTTCAACTTTTCAAACGCAATGCAATCATAACTCAACGATTTGTTTGATAAGAAAAAATAACTTAATTTCATATACAGTCCGACACTCGTTATAGTGTACTGTTTGTTAAAAGTTGTACACTTTATAAGTTGTATACGTTTAGCACAATTTTGAAGTGCATTTTATAACAGATGGATAATAGGGTAGGAAATTGTGGCAAATATATTGGTCTCTCAAACGCAACTAGTATTGCGTAAAAGGGTTTGAAGTTTGTCGGACAGTGTTCAGGGTTATTCACTACACGTTAAGAAGTGTCGTTTTTCAAGATTCAAATCCCTGAGTGACTCATAGCTATTATTAGCTATTATTAGATCCTCATTGATATTACTCGCGGCGAAAGTTTTTTTCAGACAATAGTTCACTAAAAGTTTTCAATCGCATTTCACTGCAAAAGTTGTGTTTCAATGCATTTAAGTCTTTAATGAATTTGTATGAATAGAGAGATTATGCGAAAAAGTTTTCAATTGTGTGCACACATTGTGTAATGTATTGACTGATTGATTGGTTTAGCGTTTTTATAAGCAC